CTCCGCGCTTGCGGTGGTCAAAGGTTGACTAACCACTTACAACTTTCTGCGCCCTTCCGCTCTTGCCTAGCCCGCATTTTAAAAACAAACTTTTATCTTTTTTTTCACTTACTGTACCACGTCCCATATAACTGTACTGACCTGACGAGAAATTATCGAAAGCAACGTTTGCTCGCAAACTCGTCTTCTGAGTACAAAAAAAACCGGCAGCAGAAGAGATCATTCGGAAAACTCGATTTAAAATTAACAGACCTTTTTTTTCAGCAAAGCGGTGAAAAAGGACAGGAGAACGATAAAGAATAAGACGAAGAATGCAGGCATCTATGAGTCTCCAGGCAAAGGGATTAGGTATGTGGCAGGGACGTAAACGACGAATGTAATGAAGAAGTTTACGAATTTTACTGAAATGGGGCTAAGCATGAAGGGAAAATGAAAGATTTGATGACAAAATGACGCCGAGGTACCTTAACGAGGATACCTCGTTGGGAAGGATGTCAAAGGATTCGAGACAAGGAGAGGGTCGCGTTCGGAAAATACACTGAACTGATTTTTGATTGTTCATTAGGAGACCATTTTCCTGCGACCATACTGAAACATGTTCAGGGTCATCCTTCGGAGACTGCAGATGTGTCCTATTTTTGAGAGGGTGTCCAGCAACCACATCATCAGTATACTTAACCAATAGACACTCATTTGAGAATCTGAGACCATCAGTGTGGAGGGAGAAGAGGCGAGGCGATAAGATGGAACCTTGGAGAACTCCACAGTCATTGGGAGGGACCGTAGGTTTCCGCTCGCCGGACTGGACAAACTGAATGCGGGAAGTAATGTAATCGCCAGGCGAAGAAACAGCCCAGCCCGGAGAGCCACACGCAGATGTTTTAGTAAGAAGGGGACGCGGGACGGTATTTAAGCCGGAGGAGTAGTCAGGAAAAACACATGCGTACTCGCGGCAAACCTTATCTAATTCACTTTGGGGCAGAGTAGACCACAAGGTACTACGAACCCTGTTGTGCTGGCTTTGATTATCTCTTGGAGGGAAGGCTGACAATCGAGGTAGGCAGATAAATTCACCGTTTCTGCCTCTCTCTCAAGTTCACCCTTGACATCTGTGGGTCCATCTAACTGACTTATAACATTCGTCCCTCAAATTCAGCCCAGAAGTTTTCCATGTATTTCTGCCTAGCCTCCTGAAGTGTACTAAAACGATTTCTTAAGTTAATAGGCTAATAATACCATACACGTATTGATTGTCGGATGCTTTCCACCTAATTATGCACTGTCTTTTCTCGGACTTATCAGAGTTTCACAACTGTAACTCAGTTATGCTCCTTAAGACTCATTGATGCCCTCGGATGGCATTTGGTCCGGCATACCTGGTAGCAACCAAAGACCTATGGTTTATCCGGCCAGTAGTTCATAGATTAGTCTCCCCACATCCTTTGACTCTAATTCGGTTTAAACGTTCCCTAACTAATTCTCGTAGCTATCCCATAACGCCCAACAACCTCCGACTTCGATATAACCTCCATCTTTTCCATGTTAACTACGAGCAATCTTGCCGATAGAAGCGAACATGCGAGTTCCAGGAAGCAGTCCGGAAGACAAAGTTGCGATCACGCGAACAAGAAATATATTGGCCCGACGTTACGGATTCTCACTTGAACCCATCATCAGAGACAGTCGCAGAAGCCAGAGTGACGTGATTTCTGCTGGTACCCACTTGAGTGATGTGCTGTCAACAATTACTCATTGGTCACCATGGCAGGACACTTCTAATTCCTCTGAAATCTTTCCCCTGAATTACACTCCACCAAATTATTTTGTAAGAGTATCCAATATGGCACGCTATCAAACGCATTATGGAATCCAAATAAAATTACACCTGGATAGCCCTAATTTGTGGTCTTTTTCGATTTTGATTGCGAGTAAAGGCCATTTGCGGGACATGAGTGACCACGACGAAGGCCTGGCTGGTGACAGATATTGAGTTTCTCTGCTCCAAATAGGCGATTGAGTGCTTCTTAATGAATCGCCCCATGGCACTGCACAGTATGCAGGTTGAAGTAATGGGACAATAGTTTTCTGACTGCAGTCCAGGCCCACCCTTTTAGATCGGGGAGATAGGGACAGTTTTCCGTTCATCTGCGCTTCGCTTTATTCAGTGGACATCTGGAATGTTGTCGACACCGGACCGGACGGCACGTCGGTCCCTCGTAAAATTGCAAGGGTGTGGATTCTATCTGGACCTGGTGACTTGGCAGACTTCAGTAGGTGCAATTCTACCTTTATCTATGTAGTGAGATGGAAAGAGTTTCCTTTAGTGTAAACGAAGCAGAAGCTTATTATTGTTGTTGTGGGTGGAGGAGAGGGAGAGGATTTACTTAAGGAGTGAATTCCGACTGAAAGAAAGTAGAAAGGAATGATGCTTTGGTCTTATCATCCATATTCAATGTTCCGTTGCTGGACCACAGCGCCGGAATCGGATAAAGATTACTCTTTTTGTGACGCATCTAACGTATAAGATCTTTCGATGTTCCAAAGAGTTTGATACTGTGTTTAGCCCATAAGTGGTCTGGAGTCTATTAGACTTTGTATTCTTGCAAATATTTGATGCCCCTGTTAGTCGAAAACGCTTTCACGCCTTACTCCATCTTTTAGAGTCGTTCTGGATTTCCCGGTTTATTTGTTTTCTTCCACCTTAGTGGGGAAATTAGATTGAAAATCATTTTTGCCACTCAACTGAACGTACTCCAGTATCGTTGACAGTTAACCTAAACGTTCTTGTCCATGATACCGCTGAGACTTGCCCTTCCATGTTGGAGAAATCTCTTCTCACGATGTTTGTTTCCCATTGTTTAGTTGATATAGACAGGGAGAACATCTAATATTTGAAGAGTATTACTTTATGACCATTAGAGCCTATCGGCGGGACACCTAGTAGATCCAACACACTCTCATTCTCCTGAATGATCTCAAGGCCTGAACAGATCAAACGTCGTTCAGCCGGTATCAGTCGGTATGGTTGGAGGTAATAACAGAAGCCCTTGAAGCTCCATTTAAAGTAGTTATGTCCCAAAGGTTTTTAAGCACGGTTTTAGTGTGCATAGTGCACAAAAATAATGATGAAGCATAAGTGTTAAAGGGACGCGTCACTTGCGAAATACAAGCGAAGAGCACTTCCACTGCATTAGCACGATGAAATTTTCGTCTAGATCATAGTTAATGTGCACAAAAACAATCTATTGAAATCATGTTAGTAGAATATTTGGCAGAGGCCAAATAGGCGGCCACAGTGAGAAAATATCCCTAGGTGGGTCGGGTACAACGGGAGGGCGGTTTTTAGGGGAAGAACGGGCGGGGAAACCGGCAGAGGGCACTGGACTGACAGCTGGATGTTAAAAAATGTTGGAAATTGCAGGGAAATAATTATTTGTTTTAATGAAGTGAAAAATACTGGAGGATGGCGTGCAAATAAGCAGTACCTTAGGCAATCCCCAATCGCAGGTGGCGTGGCGGGGGACGTGATATGATTGGCGGCCAGGACGAGTAAACCTGAACCGCCAAGCGGTTAACCAATGGGATCGTTGGCGCCACCCTTGATTTAGTCTGCAGCAGATGGATGAGAAGCAGAAGATGCGCAAGCGAGACGGGAAGGGACGTCGAAGTGCTGTGGTTGGGTAAGAGTGATTGAATAAACTGCTTATGACAACTGCCTCAATTCCCAGCCCCTTACTTACCCCTCTCTGTTATATCGATGATCTTCATTGCATGCACCGTTTAATACGCATAACGCGAAAAATGTTTAGGATACCTGGACGTACTCTAACGCCGCCGCACCAACCTACAGCAGATCGGCGAACTCCCGAAGTGGTCGGTTGCCGTATGTAAGTACGCCGTTTCGCTAGATTTTTAAATGTCCATGGTGGGAGCAGTTTGCAGACTTCGGTAACCCTTTTAATTTAAAATTTAGGATATTCGGTAATACTGGCGGGGGTCTCCGGGGAACTGCGCCGTGTCAGATGTTACGATCGCCGTCGGTTGTCAGTGAGTAAGTGCACTACCGCTCTAAAATCATACTGCTCCTTGTCTGCATCAAACCCCTCCCGTCGAGAAATATTAATGCGGTTGTCAGTGAGTACGTGCACAACTGATCTAAAATCTTACTGCTCCTTGTCTGCATCAAACCCCTCCCATGGAGGAATATTAATACACGCTGCTGGAATGGTCTCCATAAAAAAGGGGGGGGGGTTGGATTCTTCAGACGTACGGACCAACCGACGTCGGGCTCAGAGCATGCCATTAGCTGAAGGGGACCTGGGTGCCCATTGTGAGTATGCTAAGGTAAAAGGGGACGGGGTGGTAAGAGATGTAGTCTGCAGTTAGGTAGGTGCGTGCTAGGTAGTTGGTCGTTAGCCAGCGGAGGAGGAGGGCAATTTAACTGAAAGGCCACTGATTTGTTTACATAACTCCTATGTAGGTTAAGTGCACGATGTTACTCAACCAAAAGCACATTGCCTGGTGGATACAAACTGTATGGGTAAATGCAGGGAAAGTCATGTTATGTCCGAATAGCTAGCACAGAACGCATGATGGTCTACTATCTATAAGCTACCGCTAATTCAACTGAACCTCATTGTTAGGTATACCATGAATTACTCTGGGCATACATAAGGAAAAAGAGAGCTGGGGGATATGTATAAGTTGACACCAGCAGTATTATAAACTCCTACTGTTTTATACCTAGATCGTCACCGACTGCAGGCTGACGTAGGCGCGGTCCTCAGCGGGTTATACAGACTGCCGAGGATGAAATACAAGCTGTCCTTCAGTCAGCAGGTGTCGTTCAGTACCTGCAGCGGTGGAGGTTGCTGGCCACCACATTAGCATGCCGATGTCGGCGTACTGTGCAGATGCAAGTGCTACAGCAGCAGCATACGGACGGTTATGCCTTCCGCTGTGGACACTGCAGACGGAAGCGTTGTCTGCGGACGGGGTGAATGTTCGTGGGTAGCAAGCTCAGTCTGCAGACCCTGCTACGTAAATGCTATAAGTTCGTCGAAGGTGTGCGGGCCAAGCGGTGTGCTGCAAGTGTGGGTGTCAGTAGAAATACTGCCATGGAATGGTACACCATTTGCCGCGGGGCCTGCTCACACGCACTTCGATCCGCCGTAACCCAAATTGGGGGACCAGGCGTCGAAGTGCAGATAGACGAGACGCTCATAAGTCGCCGCAAGTACCACAAGGGACGACCGCGGCGCCAGTTGTGGGTCGTCGGTATGTACGATACAGGCAGGCGGAAAGCCCTGCTTGATCAGGTTAACAACCGCAGCTGGCAGGCCCTAAGGCCCGTCATAGTGAAGTGGGTGGCTGCTGGTAGTGTTATCGTAACCGATGAGTGGAAGGGTTATACCCGCCTACCGTCGGAAGGTTTCACACACTACACTGTCAACCACAGTAGGGTCTTCGAGAGTCCCACAACGGGTCGGCATACGAACGCCGTAGAGGCCTACTGGAGCAGATTGAAGAGGAAGCTGCAGGAGTCTGGTCCTGTCTGTGGTAGAGCAGTGTGGGCCCATCTAGATGAGGTTCAGTACCGCCTCTGGTTCGACCTAAGGGCCGACAACATGGCAGCTTCCTGGGAAACTTTCCTGCAACACTGGGCAGAAGCATATCCAATTGAGGAGAGCCAACCAACGGCGATTGGATAAGCTAACCAACGAAGGCGCAGACGGAAGTCGTGAAGGTAAGTCTCTGTGCTTCCTCCATTTACTTTCCATGCCTACCCACAGTGAATGCGGCCGTTACCTGCTGGCGATGGGGATACCCGCTACCAAAAAAGGATGCTGAAGGCGATATGAGGTACTGCAGTGTACGGCAAGCGTGTAATCGCATACCCTTTTTTTTAGCACACCTAACTGTCGACTGCTGGTGATGTGGCAAGCCACTGCCCAAGGCAGTCAGGGATGATTTTCTGTACTACGCTGAATGTCTAGTGTGTTGTTCCCTTTTCCTATTTTTGAGTAAATGCTGCATTTTGCTATTGCAGTGTTCTGGCTTACGGTGCTGGTAAGCATCCGGAATAAGGGAAAGTTTGATACTCAGTTAAATAAAGTTCAACCGCGGGGCTGCGTTAGCTGGTGAGAGCCGGTTGTGGGCTAATGGTAGAATCGAACGGACGTTGTCTGTGGGCTGGGCAGGTATCTCTAACAATGGTAATGGAGCCAACAACGCACAGTGAGGAGGGCGACTGATCGACTATCCGGGAGGCTTGGTAGGTGAACATGTTTACCGATGTAGAATAAGGCAATGACATCCACCAAGCCTCGTCGGTAAACCCTTATGGGGCAGAAAGGGAGTGATTACGGAAGACCTTTAGAGCGGGAACAGGATGGCGCACGGGGCAAAAAACCCACAAGCACACCTACTGAACAAACATCAGTACGAAAGGTAGCTGTGGGGTAAGCCTGTGGCCGCCTGTTTGGAACCCGCCGAATATTTATAGCTATTTCGCCAGTCCATTTGATGGGGGGTTTGGGAGTTCGGGTTGCCTTTCAGCAGGTGATCGTCCAGATTTCTCCCGAAAACGCTCACAGTAGGGGAATCTACAAAATGTGTCGGTATAGAATTCCATGAGCGAGTGACGGTCAGTGAGAAAGGCAAAATTTTGCTGGTTAAACTTTTAGGCAGTTCTACCATTCATCCGCTTACAACTTCGAAGCACCTTAGCCATTCTTGGCTCATGAGTCTCCTTGAGGTATCCTTATTTCTTTTTCTAACTAATACAGTTAAATATTGAGAGTTTTTTTGTGAACACCATTGCTAGCTACAATAATTTAGACGGGAATATGAGAACTCGGCAAAATTATGCTTTTTCTAAGGGAACCATAACTTGTTTTCTACATACGGAATAATTTCAACAACCTTTTGATTCTAAGGCCACCGAAATAATGAATACATTGATTTATTTAGCAACTACAAGGGTACGTTCATGGTGAGTAAAGAAAAACATCTCCAAATGGATTTTAGATCGAGTAAGTAAACACCGTAATGATCGAGCTCGTAGTCTCTGAAGTGGTACAGACTCTTTAGCCCGCAGCACAACGGATAACTCCTTCGCTGTGAGTAAGCAACGGCTCATCCATGCATCCTGTCTAGTTCGGCCAAAATTCCATAAAAAGGATGGGGTCTGAAGACATTCGACATAGTATTGACCATTCCCATTCTGAACTAACGTCGCTTTACGGGGTGCAGCTTTTTTTCTTGAACTACCAAAACTATCGAAAACATCACCACCTCTATTTAATCCTTCAGGAGTTTTTTTTACTGCTGACTCGATCCGTGTTGCGCATTTTCTGACAATGCCTATAAAGTGGTATCAAATACAATTATTATTGTCATTCGGGATTTTCAGTTTCTATCTCCAAGCGTCTGCTGCGGCGATTCCTTGGTATGGTGAAATGTATCGTTGCTTCCATCCAAATTGTGCCAACGCCATCCTTTTGCTGACCATTACCATCTCATGTTCCAAGCGTATGGTTGAACAGTCATGGAAGGTTATTTCCGCAAACTTACAAAGTCTATTTAACAAACTAGACGAACTAAGAGACTTAGTTGATGAAGTTAAGCCAGACATTATGGCTTTCACAGAAACATGGATTAGGTCAGTATAGGTCAGTATATTTTAAGAGTAATAGGCAATGCCTTTTAAAACCCTATTGTAAACTGTACATGCAATATTTCACTTTAAATAAATATGGTACTGAAATGTTGTCAGTAATATATGCATCTAACATAATATTTTCCACGAAAATGTAGAACCAAAACTTGAGAACAGATGATTTCAGTAAAATGTTATGAAAGTCATCCGCATCAGTGGTATGAGTATGCAAGGCTTTGGTTTAGCACCACAGAGCTGTTCTGTCCAGACAATCGATAGTGTCCAAGCAAATATGCATCGAGTCTTTGCTTGAACGTCTCCGTGGTATCCGCCATTATTACGTCCTCGGGAAGCCCGTTCCAGGCACCGACGACTCGCTGTGAAAAACAGTATTTGCGAACATCCAGGCGGCACCGGGATCCTCTAAGTTTTAGAGAGTTCCCACGCAGGTTTGTTGTTGCGGCCATGGTGAAGAAATCGTCGGGGTTTAGGGCACATTCCCGGTTCCTCAATATCCGATAGGCCTGTATGAGATCCCCTCGAACCTGCCTGTACTCAAGAGGAAAAAGTTTAAGTTCCCTAAGTCGACAGTTGTAAGGTAAAGTCCTGAGGCCTTTTACAATTTTCGTTGCTCTCCTCTGAACTCTTTCGAGCAAATTATAGTCTTTATTTAGCCACGGGCGCCACGCTTGGATTCCATATTCCAAATGCGAACGAATGAACGCTCCGTATACTTTTCCAAATAACTCTTTGTCTATGTCCACGAAAGTTCGTTTAATGGCAAAGAGAACACTATTTGCTCTTTTGGACGCCCTAACACACTGAGATGAAGGCTTAAGGGTCGACAAAATGTTAATCCCAAGATCTTTTTGTTCGATTACATTTGAGAGGCACCTTCCACCAAGTTGGTAATGGTGATCCTCTCCGTCAGCTCTTCCAGTCGTTTTGAGTCGCAGCGCGACGCACTTCTCAAGGTTAAACTTTAACAGCCATTTGTCCGACCATTCGCATAGGCGGTTCAGTCCTTCTTGCAGGGCCCGTTCATCATGTTCGCCGTTGATCGCTCGCCATAACTTGATGTCATCAGCAAACATGACTCCATTGCAGTCCAGTCCATTCATACAGTCGTTGACATAAATTAAAAATAGTACTGGT